AAAAAGAAAAATGTTGAGGTAGGTAGTGGCTTAAACACTATTAGTATTGAAGATAGAAAGACATGTTTTAAGTGGGGAAAAGCAATCATCACTGTCAGACATGTTTACTGTCAGACATGTTTAATGTATTTCACCTTTTTCTGAACAAGCATCAGAACCATTGAGCAACCTAAAGAATGACAACGTAGAAGGGGAAAAAATCAAACTTGCTCAGAGCTTTTCTAGCACCCTCTGACACTACTCTTTGAGCTCATGGGCACTCTGATGAACCCCATGGCTTATACCCTCAGCGAGGCTGGACAGTCTTTGTACCCTGGAGAGTTTGCAATTTACCTTGATTTAAAGGCACAGACCCATGAAGGGCCCCAGAAGCTTGGAAAGATGATTCCAAACACTGCTTTTTAAAGATAAAGGAAAAAGCCCTGAAATCACACGCCATGCATCTTCCAGTTAACCCCAGGACATATGACTGCGGAACTTTGTCTCTTCTGAGGAGTAATGCAGGCCGCAGGAAACACTGGTGCTCAGCAGGTCCATTGCTCCAGGCACGGCAGAGGTTGGCACTACCATCTAAGCACAGACATTGAGGCGGCTTGGGAAGGGATGGCACTTAGATTAACACAGGCTGCTGCTCAGCACTCCTCCTTGGGTCCTCTCCCCAGCACACTGGGGCTGTCCAGGGGTGAGTCACAGCGTGCCCTCTTTGATAGGGAAACCTATGTCCCGGGACTGGGCTTAGTAGGGAGACAGGTAGGACAGACACCTCTCCCACAACTCACACAACTGGGACAGAAGCGCTACATTATCCAGGGGCACCTGTAATCTTAAGTCAGGAAACATGATTCAACTTCATCCATTCACTGTCTCACCACTTGTCTCTTGGGAAGGTGAATTCCTCTGTGTACTCCAATTTTGTAGAGGGCAAAACCGTTCGATGCCCGAGAGGTAAAAGCTCTTCCTGTGACACTTTCCCTAGACAGTGACACATATGGTGGGCTACTTTTAGGCTAGTCTGCCCCAACTGCAGTCCTGAAAGGCTTAGGGAACACAAATCCAGGACTCTGTGGGGGAAATTGGGCAGGGCTGGGGCTGAGGATGCCTGTTAGGATGCAGCTTCAATTTCAACAGGTGGAAAAAAAAAAAAAAAAGGACCTACAGTAGGGCTGCTTCTTACTGCAGAGAAGGAGCTCTTTTCTATTCCTCGATGTCACGTTGCAACACCTTTCCCATCCAGCAGGGGAGGCACTGGGGTTCTCCATGCCCCTTAGGAGACACCGTGGGGGCTCTCACAGGGTGCGTCTCATGGTCTGCCGTGCAGTACCGGACACTGGTCTTTAAGACCACAGAGGACCTTGTAGACGATGAGGGAAGGGAAATCAGAACAGATGTTATGGAGGGATGGCTCCTTCCGCACAACACTGGTGTGAGTTCTGACTCCCACATCTGGGACTGTAATCCTATTTGGGAACTGGGTTTTCTTGTGGTGTTATTTCCATGAGAGTATCTTTAATGTACTCATGTTCAGCTATGAAAAGAGAGTGCTAAACACAAGTGAGTGCAGAGTGGGGAGGACAGACGCACGTGTGGGGATTACCCTAAGGCAGTGGTTCTCAACCTGTGGGTTGCGACCCTTCTGGGGGGTCAAATGACCCTTTCACAGGGGTCACCTGATTCATAACAGTAGCAAAATTACAGTTAAGTAGCAACGAAAATAACTTTATGGTTGGGGGGTCACCACAACAGGAACTGTATTAAGGGGTCGCAGCAACAGGAAGGTTGAGAACCACTGCCCTAAGGAATCTGGGAGGTTGGGGCTGGGTGAGGAAGAGAGGGGAGACAGGGCAGGGGTGGGAGGGAGAGCCTGTGTGCTGCTGTGAATTCAGACTTTGGGCTCTGACGTTATGAGAAAATAAATGCTACATCCTTTAAAGACACACATTGGTAGCATTTCTGTAACTGCAGCACTGAGAAGCTAAGACGGTAGGTACCTCGTGTGTATCAGTGCAGGGACCGCACAGTCCCTCGTGTAAACCTCCTGAGAGTCATAGCTCATCTTCATGTGAGCTGAGGGAAACGAGGCTCAAAGAAGTTAACTTATTTCCCCAAGGTCACAAAACCAGTCTGTGGTTGAGCTGGGATTCAAACCCAGGTATAACTCTAAAACCATACAATTCCCCACCCCCACACCCTTTTTCCCCCCACTGACAAAGTGTTCACGGTACTGCCATACGTTTTAATCACTGCAACATCTATGGCACTTTCAAAAGCAAAGACCAGTTCATGGCAGTTCCTTAATTTATGCACAGAGGTAACTTTAACATTAATGAACCTGGGCATTTAAATCTCAAGGAAAAGGAGAAAAATTGTCCTGACCAGTTTCCAATGTCTCTCCCTAACCGCTTCCCCACCCCTCCTGCAGGAAGTAGGTTAGAGTGTCATTTCCATTTCATTTCTTCATCAGATAGTCTGGAATTCACTGCTGTCCTGGTGGATTATTTCTTCAGCTAGAGTGTCCTCTGACATATTTGCCTGCAGTATCTTCTGCAAGATAGATGCTCACCATGTGGTGGTTGGAGGCTGCAGAATGAAGCCTAGACCCAAGGAAGCCTTGGGTTTTAATGAGAATGAGAAGGGCAAGTCTGAGAGACCCTGGTTTCTCCCCATGGTGCCAGCAGCTTAGGCCTGAGGAGTCAGTGCCCTGAACGTGCTGCCCAGCTCTGTCAGTACAAAGTAGGGGTGATTTTCAGAGACCCAAGTTGAGTCCCAGTCCCTCTGCCCCATCTCTATGCCCACGAGGGCCCTTGCTAGCGATGATGTATTCTGTAGGCTCACTTCCTCAGCTTCCTTTCAGAGGGGACCGGACAGGAGGCGTGAGGGGGGTATTGTGGTGCACTCTGCTTCTGCAACAATAAACAGTTAGCTCTGAAGCTCACAGTAAGCTGCTCTTTTATACGCACAGGGGAAGGGGGTGCCCCTGCTGACAGCTTCACAATTCTCTCCACAAACATCTCCAGAGCGTGCACAAGTGGCCCTGTTGTGGTGTAACGTCTGGGAAAAGACTAAGGGCATTTCCTTTCCTTTTGAGAACAGGTGCTCTTTGAAATGAGGGTCCAGTATTTATCACCCAAGAACCCCACTTCCACTCCCAAGGTGTGGGGGGAACAGCCATCAGCAGGCACTTACCTGCCATCGGTCAATTCTGATTTGTGGTAGAACGGCCCCTGTGAATTTCCGAAACCATCACTGTTTACAGGGATAGAAAGGCTACTCCCAAGGAGCACCTGGTGGTTTCAGACTGCTGACCTTGAGGTTGGCAGCCTAACACATAACCATGGTACTACCTTGTTCCCCCAAATGGGCAGACAGTGGGGTAATAATTTTCCCAGTCAAATCCATTCAACCCTTCACTGATCCAACCCTTCCAAAGAGAGGAGCTGCAGACATCTGTGAGCTTCATGCTTCTTTCTTCCTATATCTCCCCCACCCCCCACCGAGACTGCTTTCTGATACCCAGATGCCACTCACTGATAGCCCCAGAGGCACCTGGACTAGCGAGCGGCTGCTATTGTAGAGCCCCAGTCTCTCGGTGGTTCCTGAGTGAGGCCCTGAGTACCAGGAAAGAGCTACCCCCTGTGCCACCTCGTGGAAACGGATGGACGGAACTAGAGACGCATCAGTGGGGAATTAAGAGAAACCCAGGACAAGACTTGTTCCCCTCAAACCCAACAGCCCTTTATTTGGAATCTACTTTTGTCCATCCCATAGTCCCTCCTGGAACACACAAAGAACACAGACAGTGGCTTTTTCAGTCCTTGGCCCAAATGATGCGACCGTGTAAGTACATACCATTCTGGAAAATGTGTACCCAGCTTGTGAAAAGCCCACATAAAATCAGTCATCAATAAGAGAACTCCGGTGGGACAACAGCAAATAAAGAACTAAAGCATGGCATCCGGTTCTGCAGGGAGTTAATTGCTGAAGTTGGGATGGTTCGGTTTTGGCCTTTAGAGAAGAGCCAAGTGACGGGTGAGTGACACAGTTCCTCAAACAATAGTTCTATAGATTTATGCTGTAAAGGCAAACTTTTCTCTCACAATGGACTTCAAGGACCGTGTGTGGCATGGTTCCTTATACAAGACAATACTTAGGTATATAAGGATTTATGTAAGAGAAGCGAGGCCTCTGATTGAAGTTTTGCAGAGGACAGAAAAGGTGTGCTTTGGGAACTAGATGGAAGATGCAGAGCTCTTGGGTGTGAGAACCTAAGAGTCAATCTTTTGTCTTTACTGAGGTGGAAGCCAACCCTTTCTTCCATAGGACAGGCCATAGGCATGCTTGGCAAAGAAGAACAATGCTTACCTTAAACACACATGCACACACACACACACACAAACTGGAATCCTTCTCTAAAGACGTTACTGCTGACAGTGTATGTGTGAGTCTGCCAGCCACTGATCTAAAGATTTTATAAACTGTATCTTGAGGCGGCAGGTGTACAGATAAAATTACCAACTGGTAGTTAGACCTAGATTATCCCCAGTAGGACTGGGAATAAATCATTCAAACGTCTTAGGTCTTAGCATCTACATCTCTAATGAAGTCAATATGATCTATCTCAAGGGGTCTGTGTGAAGATAAAATGAGAGAAAAGACACAAAAGTATGTAGTTCATTGTCCACCAAAGACATGCTGAGTCTCTCTTGCTTGCTTGTATTATCTGAATACACGTAAGGAATAAGAGTTGGCGGAATCCAGACACTGAAGTTGAGAGCTAAAAGAGTTAATTGTACCAGATCACACAGCAAAGAGGTGCTAGAGCCACAGTTCAGAACCAGGACAGTCTCATTTCAGACCTCAAGGTCTTTGGACCTATCATTGAATCAGTTGAGACTCTTGAGCCTGAATCATCGCCCTGGGAAGTAACCATGTCGGCCTGAGCCATTGCGTCCCCATCATGGCCAATAAGAGTTCAAGTGCGAGAGCTCTGGCAAGGCACTCACCTGACCAGAGGTGAAGTCCATCAAAGCCATAGGAGTACAGGTCATCACCAACGCCATTACCTCCCCATCCTTCTCCTCCTCCTGGGTATGGGGCGTAGCCCGAGGACGAGGCCCAGCCCACCCGCAGATGTGTGGGCTCTGCTGTCAGGAAGGGATCCACCTGGTCGATAATCAGCTCAAAGTACCACTTCTTGTACTGGGCTGAGCCCTCAGCAACTCCCAGGAAGATATTTGGGCGGATACTGAAAAGAAACATGTGACAGATAGTATCCATGGACTCTGAAACACCGAGAAACTCAATTAAACCAGAGGCATTGACTCCTTTAAACCCAGGGCAAGAGCAATTTTATGGTTCTTTGTATTCTTCTGAAGAAGGAAAACCAACCAACCAAAACGTAGGACCTCCAATATTTGATTGCGTTCTTAGTGAGAGTCGACAGGCAAACACCGATCCCATTATAAAATATAAAGGATGTCTCTCTTTAAACGTGTCCTTCAATGCAGTCAGTGTTAATCGAGTCCCACCAGTGAGTGCCTGGGGTGGAAACATACAGAATCCTCCTGATTCCACACCGTTGTTTCTGTAAGTGAAGGGGAGGGCTTACTCAAGTTGCATCCTCCAAGTATATCGGTGAGCACCTCTGTTGTTCTAAGGACAGCTGTGTCATCTAAATCATTATTCACAGCAATGGGCTCTCAAAAGCATTAAAAAGTCACTGTCAGACAACACTGTTATAAACTGGAGGTTTTGACGTGCCCAACAAAATGGTTGATTGAAATGCTGGGACAAATCATGTGGAATTTTTGTTTAGATTCATGCTCTGAAAGGTTTATTGCTCATGGAAAAGAGCATGGCTCTATTTAGGGGTGTCCAAAGAAAAACCGGGCTGGCACATAGGAGAAAGAAATCTAGACTTCAGAAGTGCATTTCTTAGCCCAGCAGAGGAGTGTGAGGGCCCAAATAGAAAATGGTCTGCCTGATCCATGTACAGTGCATTCACCTGATGCAGATGTGTCACACAGACCCACAGACCAGCCGTTCTTCAGAGCCCGATGGGGTAAATGTTCATGTACCAGAGGGCTCAGGAAGCCACAATGTCCATGTGTAACAATGATTTCAAGGGGAAAAAATGTAAAGTTGATAGATCAGAATAAATATGGATATACTACTAACGAGAGGATCCCGGGTGGTGTAGTGGTTATGCATTGAGCTACAAGCCACCAGGTCACCAGTTCAACACCACCAGTGGCTCCCTGGGAGAAAGACAGGTCTTTCCTGTTAACACTGACAGTCTTAGAAACTCACAGGGGCTCTTCGACCCTGCTCTAAAGGGTCGCTATAAGTCAGCCTTGCCTTGATGGCAGTGAGTCAGTGTTTTTGGTTTATAAGAAAGGTAGAACTTGTGCAGTAGTGTTCAAAAGACCAGGCCAGGCTAAAATTTTCGGCCCTCTCGGTATGCCGTTACTACATGCTTGGTTATGATACCGAAAAAAATGTGAGCAACTTAAAAAAAACACATTGGAATACAAGGCACAAGTTATAAAACATATGCATTTGCCTAGTCTGATCTTATGTACAGAAATCATGACGAGGCAGCACTGGAGCTCAGCCAGCACTCTCTCTGCCTTGCCTGGGAATAAGCTGGGTAGAATGATTTGTGGCATTCTGGATGGTGGTGGTAGCCTTACCTGGTCACATCGTTAATCAGTCGCGTCTGGAGGAGCAAGTTTCTCCGGGGCAGCAAGTTGTCACAGATCAGATTCTGGTTGGCTCTCACAGCAACCCCATTGCAGAGACACAGGGAGCACAGCACATCCAGAACCTGTAGCAGGGCAATGTTAGCTGGGCACAAGGGGGGCAAGGGACTGTGGGCAGGCCACCTAATCACCTGATACATAAAGTGGAAGCCATGAAGGGTAGGTAGGAGCTAGGGCATTAAGGAAGCTTGTCTTCCCCACCTCCCACAACCAAGTATTAGGCTGTGATGGGCCATGGTGCTTCCTTTTGGCTCCTCTGCCCTAGTCTTGTACGTTCTCCTCTAATCTGTGCAGGGAACACATGGCCTGTGGAAGGAGGCAAGCGCTTGAGTTCTAAAGATAGACTTTCTACGTTAGAATCTTGGCCAAGATTGCCACAGGGCAAGAGAGACATCGAGGGCGCATGCGTATGCATGCGTGTGTGTACACACACACACACACACACACACACACACACACACACACACACACGCATACACTCGATCCAGGAAGGCCGTGATTTGGGGTTGTGCAACTGCAGAGGGTGAAGGAGAAGACCCTGACAGGTCTCTACCTAAGCGGCTGCATGCTTCCACTTAGACTTCATGGTACTCTGCACTGAGGATTCATGGGCACTCAATCAGATCTTAATGAAAGGGCACTTAGATTCCCATTTGGTTCAGTCCTTGTGTATGCTGTTTGGGAACCTCCTAGGGGTGGGGCAGTGGGGATGCTACGGCAGATTCCTATTCTTGAGTCTCTTGCTATAACTTGGGTGAAGAGGAAGGCAACATACAGTGAGAGGTTGGCAAAAGACGATGGAGTCAGTGCTTAGATGACAAGAGAAGTAAAATGAGAGTTAAGGGCAACATAAACAAGCACTGCTATATATACAACCCTGCAGTAACAGTGATCTATGAGTAGATATGTGGATTGATGTGCAAGCTGAAGAGGTGTGGGATAACAGAGTCCACCATTAATCTGACTTTGGTGGGGAGTGCCTCAGGGATCACAAGGTTGTGAACAGCCATCTCAGGTTTAATTATTGGTTTCTCCCTGTCTGGAGGAAAATTGAAGGCACATGGAAACAGCTCAGTGGATGAATGGACCACGGGGTCATCAGTCTCCATGACCCTGAGCTCAGAAGGAGCAGATGGTGCCTGGCTATTACTACTGTCAACTTCTTTGATAGGAGTCACAGAAGAGAACCTGTATAGATAGAATGGGAGAGAAATTTAGAACAAGACTCAAAAGAGGAGCTGATAACAAGGGCTCAAGTAGAAAATGTTTTGGAAATGATGATGGCAATAGATGTACAAATATGCTTGATACAATTGATGTATAGAATGTTATAAGAGCTGGAAGAGCCCCCAATAAAATGATTTTAAAAGACTTAAAATCATCAAAAGACCAGGCTTACTGGTTGGACAGAAACAGGTGGGACAAACCTCCACCCCCCTCTTCAGGTCTGTAAATGAACTCATCCCATGGCTCAATTGTCAGCCAAGTCATAGGCAGGTCTATAAGGGGAACACCATGTCAGTAGGGAGTATACACACCACATCTTCAGCAACCATCTGGGATCTGAGATCAAACCTGCAGCATTTACCCAAGGACAACATTCATCAGAGTTAGGAAAGGAGGGGGAATTCAAACAGGAAACACAAAAAGGAGTAGGATACATGAATGGAAATCCAATCTGCTCTGGGCAACTTTGGCCCAATTCACAAGAAAAAGTTAAACATAACAAAAACAAAAACCTCACGATATAATCCTTAACCTGAGAAAAAGGAATCCTGCCTGATGGCACAGTGGGCAAAGTGTTGGGCTGCTAACTCCGAGGTCAGTTGTTCCAACCGACCAGCTACTTGACTGGGAAGCCCGAGGTTGTTTGCTCTCGGAAAGATTTACTGTCTGAGACTGCGGTTGTGTGTCAACTTGGCTCGGCTAGGATTCTCAGATTCTAGAAATAAGTATTCAGACACTTCATTTACTCTCCTTCCCTGATCCTGAGTGAGAGCAAACCTGCAAGGCAACTGGTGGCCTACGAACCTCAAAAGAGACCAGTCCCCAAGCTGCCTTTACACCTCTTTCCGGAAGCCTGGGAAATTGAGAAGCCCTCCCCCTCCTCCACTTGCATCCTGGCCTCTGCCGGCCCTGCAGTCTCTTGACTTCATTCTCTTTCATTCAGTCTGTGTCTCTACTGTAGCAAAGCAAGCTGTGCCTGACAAGCTCCTATCCACTGCTGTACTCCAACCCCCTCTCTTGAGGGAGGAGCGTGTAAACAGCACTTGACAAATAGCAGAAAGGAAAGTGGATAGTCTACACTTCAGTCTTTCAAAGTAGCCACCAAAGACCCAATGCTTAGTGGGGTTGGACAACTTCAGGTGGTTGATGGCATTTGTAGCCATAATTCTCACAAACCAATTTCGACCTGCTTCCCCGAGTGTCAATTTTGTTCCAGAAATCTACAAAGCATGTTTATGGGACAAGTGGATAAGAGTCCCAAAGGCCGTTCTGTGGAGGATTCTTACCGTTCCTGGCTCTGTGAAACATATCAACCATGGAAACCTGAAATCCAGGGTATAATTTCTCACAGAAAGGAGCCGGAGATGACTAGGAAATGAAATCCTTTTCATCTGACCTATCGACCGTGTTCATCTGTTTTGCCTTGCAGTGGTGGCTGCAGGAGTGTTGCTGTCTCAGCCAGAGGGATGGTAGAGCTTAATCCACCCACCCGAGGGCCCAGGATGAAGGCAGGCTCTGGAGAAGGCAGCACCTTGCCTATACATAAATGATGCCATAAGGAATTGTGGCGATATTATTTAGGTTTTGGCTCAGAAGGCTTTTGGGTAATACTGGGGATAGACACCAAACCCTGCCTTTTCTGAGAAATAAATAAGTAAATGGATGTTTCTGAAAGGGAAGCGAGTAGCAGGCCCTGATCACCCAAGAGGGCATTTAGGTCTTTAGCCTAGAGGTCACTTAGGCTTGATGACTGAGAAGCATCATCTCTGGGACTTCTGGAAGCCATAACAAATCCTGCTAAATGTGCACTAAGCTCCATTACCTCCACCCCCTGAGCACACAGGAGGCTCCCTTTTGCCATTTCCATGGGCCTATGTGGGACCATGGGGCTGAGGTCTAGTCAGTGGGTAAATGGGTGGATGTGATAGATGTTTTGCCTTGGCACTGAAAAGCTCCTTCGTGGTCCACCTCCTGGTTTTCTCTTGTTCCCACCTGCCTACAGAAATCCAGTCCTCCTCAGCCCAAGGGTCTCCCAACTCACAGGGTGAGCCCTGAGCCAGCAGTGTTGGCCTCACAGAAACTTGCTCGAAATACAGGTGCTCAAGCTCCACCCCAGACGCAGAGAATCAGAATGTGCATTTGAACATGATTCGTAACAGTACAGCCTGTGCAGTCCTGCTGAGGGGATGTTGGAGCCCCTTGAGGGAAGGAATCCATGTCTCTGAATGACAGACCGAAGCCAGTTGACTGAGGGGCTAAGACTGAGGGGGCAAAAAATAAATGATCCATGTGTTAAGATGCTGAGCATTTAGACATGTTTTGTTACAGGCTTCCCTGACCAATAGACCAGTGGTCCACCATTTTGCGAGTCCAGTTGCTTCTGGCTATAATCCTCGTCATCACTGAAACCCTGCTTCACCGAAATCCTCTCTTTTTGCCTTTATCTGCACGAGTCTCTACCCCAAACACAGGCTTATATGAGGACCCTACTTTAAAGATAAGAAGTATGACCTATTAATAGGACCATCATTTGCCTGTCGCATTTCATCCTCAGTTTCTATGTACAAAAGGGGCTTTACAGTAAAAAGTAAAATAACTTCTAGCTGTATTTACTCTGGTTGTATATTAAGCTCTATGTTGAAAAATGAGTGTTTTGTAGTCCTTGAGGAATGAATTTTATTCTTCCTCTGCATGATAACTAGATGGTTGGGAATGATTCTATACATATTTCCCTCGACTGTCTGGAAACATAAGGTTGAATTTATGGAGCTATTAGAAACAACAGTTTTTACGATCCCAGCTATGCCTGAGACCACTTTTTCAGTCACGATGTCACTTCATCTCATTGAGGGCCTACCTCATTTTTTCTGTGTACTTATCAAGCTTGATGTTCTTCTCCAGGGACTGGTCCCTTCTGATAGCATGCCCAAATCAGGTGAGATGAAGACTCACCATCCTTTCTTAAAAGGAGCACTCTCACTTTACTTCTTCCAACAAAGATCTGCTGGTTCTCCTGTCAGTACACGGTATATTTAATACTCTTTGCCAGCATCCTAATTCTTCTTCACTCTTCCTTCTCCACTGTCCAGCTTTCACAGGCATTTACAACAATGGAAAAGACCACACCTTGGGTCAGGCCCCCTTTACACTTCAAAGCATATTTGCTTTGTAACACTCTAAAGAGATCTTGTACAGATGTGTCCATCGTAATATTCATTGGATTTCTTTAATGCAGCTCTCTGAAGGGTGGTGGATCCAAGCAAAATGAAATTCTTGACAACTTAAATCTTTCCTCCATTGATCATGACCAATAGTACTCTATTGGTCCAATCGTGAGAATTTTCATTTTCTTTACATTGAGTCAAAACCTATACCAAAAGCTATAATCTTTGATTTCCATCAAGAAGTACTGCAAGTCCTCTGCACTTTCAAAGAGCAAGGCTGCATCGTCTGCGTACCACAGGCTGTTGGATGATTCTTCCACCTGTCCTGAAGCTGTTTTTTCTTCACATCCAGCTTCTCCAATGATCTGCTCAGCATATAGATTAAGTATGGTAGAACGATCCAACCCTGACTCAAAACCCTTTCTGATTTTAAACCACAGCCAAACCAAACTCACTGCCATTGAGTCAATGCCAACTTACAGCAGCCTTATAGGACAGGTTAGAACTGCCCCGTGAGTTTCTAATACTATAATTCTTTACAGTCATTAAAAACCCTGTCTTTGGTTTTCAACTGCTGGCCTTATTGTTAGCTCAAAATGTAACCATTTTGCCACCAGGGGTCCTTTAACATGACCTCTTACTATTCTGTTCAAATGACTACCTCTTGGTCTATG